CAAGCTTATTAATTTATCAGTATCAAGCTACAATCACATACAAATCATACCAACATTTCTTGAAAAGATAACTGAATAATCTTGACCAACAGCACACCAAAAAGAATGCTAAGCACTTTCTCATCATGGAGACCAGCATGACAAACATTCATCTTTGCAAGAATATTTGGTATATAATGACTAACACATGAAAAATGCAATGGGTAATTTAGTTACTGGTGTGTTGAGTGGTACTGGTGTGTTAATTAAAATTCTTAATTAATCTAATACCGCAGCACAGATTGACAAATGTGTTAACTGCTTAGAACTATTTGCATAATAAAATGTTGTTTAACTTGTTTATAATATATTCAAATAACTCTGGTTAGTCAATAATAATCTCTCTTCATTTCAGGACTAATCATTTCCATAATTTAAGTTAAATCCAATTTAAACTTTAGTCTCCTAAAAATTAAATAAGAGTATACTGTACTATTTTAAAAAGCAAGTCACATTACCAGGGTCCCTTTTTAATAAATCAACCACTTAAAAATAATTAGCAAGACCTTATCCCATCATTTGTTGATTTTTTATAAAATATAAAAATAATTGGGGAAATTGCTTGGAAGAATCTCCATGTCCATTGATTTAAAGAATCTTAATTTACGTACATATAATTTAAGCTCAAGTTCTCTGACCTTCAACTGTTGTTATCAGTTTCAGTAAATTGTCCAAAACAGTATCCCAAATGATATAGAGATATTATCTTCCAAAGAATAGTAAAAATCAAATAAATGATAATATTACAACAATTGTAACACAAGAAAACGGTAAAGGAGAAAAGGCTTAGCCTGTCAACCACACTGCTTCCACAGACCACTTACAATTCACCCTATTCACACTCACTTAAATTTCCCAAGGCAAAAGTTTGCAAGTTAATTCCCTCATCCCTAAATTAGTCGAGCAAAATTCCAGAAATCTTCAAAATCTCCAAATTCCATCAATCAGCCCTATGCTCTATATCCCCCCAGATAAAACATCATTCCTCTCCCTCTTACATCCCAAAGGTTACGTTTATTATTTTAAAATTGAGCCCTGATGGTGCAACAAACATTTTTAAAAAATTAAATCTAATTCTCAGAAAATCAAACAGAATTACACCCTGTTCACAGTCATACATAGTTTAAATCAATCATTATTAGTGGACTTCTACTTTATATTTAAAATGGCAGAGAAAAACAGACAAGCTTTAGTTGTGTGTTTTGTGGGCTGTTGCCTTGGGATTGTTTTTAAAATCTGATGGGACTCCACTTTGTAACAAATGAAGAAAGCACTTTCTTTAGTTAGCTGGCAATCTGACATATGGAGAAACCCATTGGCATGCTTAAGGCTCCAAAAACACACGTTTGCTAGTGCTGGAATGTTATTGAAGACAAACGTCACAGGTATCAGAAGCCGAGTGGGAAGAATCCTATCTCCCATGTCCAAATCCTATTTATGAATCAGGCAGGGTGGTCAATCAACAGGTGTCCCAAACAAACCAGAACTGTTATCTCAGGTATTATTGGATCATCAAATCCACCAGAGAGGTGACTGAACACTGCTCTTCCTTTGTAAGACCTGTCACCATGGAGTCAATTTTATTCCAGTGAGAAATTATTTACCTCTTTCCACCCCTCCCCGTACATCAATTATAATATATCAACTGAAAAAGGTTCTAACATTTCTATTTGTAAATTTAATCGTAAACACCAAATATTTTCCTTTCAGTTTTGGTTATATATAAACAGTATATACTGACTGATCACTTTATTTTCTTGCATGTAGTTACTGCTCATAACTTAACAAACCCAATAATGATTGTCTCACAATCATTGGTCTTAAAGTGGGGACACCGGAACACATAAGCTGCATGAAGTTTCCTGGTCATTGATACCCACCACAATAACTAACACAGGCCAAACAAAGTGTACATGGAATAAAATGTTTCACCTGCTCCCCATGCAACTGAAGACACATGCCACAGAATACTGAAATACCTATTCCACCTAACCACCAAAAGCATCCACAATCCACTATGTATGATACCTACTGTATATGCAGGATGTTCACCATTAAATCATTATATGATAATAAACAGTAACTTAGCCATAATAATAAATGGACCTCGCCCCAAACTGCATTGTATCCAATCCAATTTCAAGGCAGTAATCTCATTTTGAGGTTCAGGTGATTGTTATAAATTGTAAAATTGAAGCTCATGTTTTGACATTAGCTATGAGATTATTGCCTTATAATCACTTAGTTATACAGTAAATTCCAATAAAGACAATTTCTGAAAATCTAGCAGTCTTTCTTTTTAGAAGAGAATATTTTTAACAATATGAACAAACCATTTGTGTTTTTTTTAAAAAGCTCCTATGTACTGCACAATACATTACATTAGGCTAACAAATGGAGGTAGCTGTAACTTTGCACTCACTAAATGTTAACTACTGAATACATGCTCAATAAACAGGTAGAAGGTAAAATGTTATTTCTGTTTTTGATCATGCTTAATTTATCTTAACATGTATTATGTTATAATCTATACCAGAAGGTTTGAAATAAGAACAAATGCAATCTGTTTAGCAGAGACGTAAAATGAATTAAGCTAGTCTGATAGGGCGATATGCAAAATAATTTAATAATTTAAAATGTATGTGGGAACAAGAGTGATATTCTCCCCAGTTGATAGAAGAGAGCAAATTCTACCACGAGAGATTGGAATTCTATTTGCATGCATTATTCAGGGGTCCCGAGCATTTCCTACTCTACACAGTTACCAGAATTACCTGAGTAAAAGTTTGGAGAACAGTTTATTTGTCACAGCCTATTTTAAAACTCTTTTGACATTTATATTTTTGGCTCAATTTCTTTGCATTCATCAGATGGGATATCAATGTTGAGTGGAAATATAGTTCTACTTTTTGCACCAAGTGTTATTACGAATACTGTTGGGTCAGATACTGAGTAAACTCTCAACTCAATCTAAAGATGTGCTTACCTTAAAACTCAGAAGAACACCAGCTACATTTTCCATAATGGGCATTTTTGTGGTCTCGGGGAATGAGACTAACAATCTAGTAAATTGGGTAGATTCATGAAAACTATGAATTTATAGATACAGTAATGCTCCCTTTGCAGCCAACAAAGATGACATGATCATCTCACCATTCTGGGCTAGATTTGAGAGGAGAAAATAGAATATGCCAATTCAATGAATGGCTGTTCCCTATCTTAAATATCTCACTCTTTGATTTAGCAGCACTAGAACTATTTTCAAAAATATAAATGCATATGAAATAGTCAACGCTGAGAAGTAATTCAAGCAAGGCCTGTCCCCCTCACCAGTAAGATTAAATGCAGAAAAAGTTATTTTTTTGTATTCTTCTTCTAATATATAAAGTGCCAATGAATCTACAACAACAAATTACATTTGTATAGCGCCTTTCACGACGGGAGGACATTCCAAGGTGCTGGACAGTCAGGGATTTAGATCAGGATGGTGCCTGAAGGCTAGGTTGAAGCGGAGGGTCTTGAGACGTGCCTTGAAGGAGGCAAGGGAGGGAGAAAGGCGAAAGGACTGTGTGATGGATTTCCAAAGGGTGGGGCCAGGGGATCGTGGAGCAGGCCGGAGCCTGCTGAGCAGGGGAGTGGATTGGTTGATGCGGGGTTAGCAGGTCACAGAGGTAGAAAGGAGCAAGGCCATGGAGGCCCTTGAAGGCGAAGGCTGGGGGATGGGGAGCCAGTGGTCATAGGTGGGCAAAATAGTGATAGGGCAGTAAATGGAGAGCAGGGGTGAGTCCAGGGAAGGTTTTTTGAGGATGGGGTGATGACGGCTGTATTTAATGGGATGGGAACGGTGCCAGTGGCCAAGGAGAGATTGATGATATCTGTGAGTAATAATAATATTAGTAGAAGGGCAAGGAGGTGGAGCTGGGAGGTAAGAAGAAGGGTAGGGATGGGGTCAAGGGAGCAGGTGGTGGTTTTCATATGGGTCACAATAGTGGTGAGAGAGGGGGGAGACAAGTTCAAAGGTGTGGGGGGAGGGATGGGTAGGGGCCGGAGTGTGAGGGGAAGGTGTATAGCTGATCCCCTCGATTTTGGTCTTGAGGAATCTAGAAGATGAAATTAGCTTCATGACAAGATTATTAAAATGTATGGGAATTGGTTCCATATATGCGCAGAACTTCTAACTTTTTTTCTCTGCTTAAAAGAAAATTCAATGGGGTAGACAAAATCCTATGGAGTGAGGTGAAAACTACTTCACATAAAGACTGGGGAGATATTGATGCACCTCTCAGTCCCAACCAAAATTTAAATAATTCTAAAATAAGATTTTCTCCTTGTTTTTACCCACACTAGTTACATTTACTGCCACTCAGCCATGAAATATATTACAAACTCAAGTATCCTTCACATATTATTCACTAAATTACCTAGAAGCATCCAAGTCTTGTAAAATTAGGATATTACAAAATGAAGTTGATTGTCTAAGTAACCAAATTTATGCAAGGAAATTTGATCTCATGAGCATAAGAGGTTATCCTATCAACAAAATGATACTACACTTTTCTAAAATGGTCCTACTTTTGGGACAAGAATGAAAGTGTTGAAATTTAAAGAATAACACTTCTTCCTCTTATGATTTAGTCTGTTGCACAAGCAAAGTAATGATCAAGTTGCTGATTACAAAACAAAATTAGAACCTTGGACTGAAAAAAATGGTTAACAATGTTAAATCCAACAATTCTTTGTTGTTGCTATTTTTCTAGCAAATATTTACATTGTTAGTACTTATTCAATCCTATGAACAGATCTGTAACTGTTAGTATTATATTGCAAGCCTATGATTGGTATAGTTTATACCAAGATATAGTATGTATGAGACTTGTTTTCCCTTTTTTTTGAAAATTCTATCCTGTGAAAAGCACACAATCGAAAGCATTCATTTTCATAAGTCAGATACTGTTGTAATGGTGCACTACTGACAACATATGCTTATTTGTTGCTTCATTCTACCCTTTACATTGACGACAACATTGCCTGAGATTTTTCATAAATGGAACCAAGGAAAAAGTACCTTATGTATACCAAACAAATAATGGCTGGTCTGGGTGAACTATAGACTTTTAGGCTCTTCATTTTCTTTGTTAATTGTGCACAAGTTATGATAAGACCAGTTGAAGACCAAAAAAGTCTAATTCATGCCAACCATCCATTATTACATACATAACTAGAAGAGGTTTTAAAAAGTAAAGCATGGTTTAGTTTAAACAGCTGAATTACCATCATGGCCCAATATATGGCTTATATTATGAGCAGATCTGTTCTGGTGTTGCTTGGAGATATCTGAAATAGCTGGGTTTGTTAAAGGCAGCAAAGGTGACATAGGCATTGCTGACCCCTCTGGAGCAAGAGGAGCAGTTGCAATTTCAGGAAACAGAGTTGTCAAATTAAAATTTGATAAATGCGGTGTAATGCTTGAAGTATTGGCCATTGGTCTGGGTGGTATATCAGGAAGAAGAGGAAAACTTGACTGTGGGAAACCAACAGGCCGAGGTGGAGACAAAATGGAACCAAATGGGTTATTCAGTCCGCCACCATTAGCCTTTTCTGTGCTTGGACTTGTAAATATCTGATTGGAAAAGTAAGGTATTGAGATGTCATTGGAGAGGTTCGGGTGGGCAGGAGAATATGGTGGATAAAAAGATGGCAGTGTATTCTGAGGCTCCACCGGTATGAGAGCTGGAGTACGAGTAGAGCCTGGCTGAGTTACAGGAGGAATAAATGATGTGTTGGCATTCATTGGAGAGTTCATACTACTTTCTGGTATGAATGGAAATCCAAAGTTCTGTGGTAGTGAGTGCTGGTCAGGAGTTAAATTATCATTGGGTACCTGCTGACCTTCAGCCATAAAACGTACAATACTTCCTGTCCGTGCAGCTTGGGGCTGCTGACGACCAAGAATCATACCACTATTGGATGTCAACGGTAACTGTAGACCATGGGCAAAGACATTCCCAGTTCTATGGTTCCCAGACCGAGATCGCTCAGTCTGACGCATTTTGGAACCAGGACCATCCTGTGTTTGATGACGTGTTCGTTGACTAACAGAATTTGGTGGTTGAATTGAGTGGCCTTGCCCATTGCTGCCATGGGGCACTGCAGGGTGTGACAACACTGACCTAACTGCTCCATGCATGTTGGTAGACCCTTGTACATTTGGATTACACTTATTTCCTTGTGTTTCATTCATTCTCAGTGAGTTCTTCTGTGCAGCAACATTTGGACTTATATTTCGGCCTTGGATTTCTCCCACCGAAGGATTCGAATACGAGATACTCAAAGTACTGTTTCTAGAACTCAATGTGACCAAATTCATGTCACAACTGTCATGGTTTTGCATTTCACCCTCTCTCCTAAGGTGGACACTCTCTCTTATTGGTGGGCAATTGTATTCTATGCTTCCTGGTGGGCCACACTGATTATTTCTCGAATGTTCTGACATTGCCCTTTGGTTTCCACTCATCTGTTCACTAAGGTGAGGAGGCAATAGACCTTGCATAAAACTCTGAGGGCAAGAACCATCATTTTCTCTTAGAGAAACTCCACTTCCTGATGTAATCCCTTGCATTGGCAAATAAGGCAATCTTGGTTGTCTTTCAGCCCCAGAATTCTGACCAAGTCTAAAGCCATGTGATTGCATTCCTCTGTGTGAAGGTACAGTACTGACTATCTCGTTGTTTCTTGAATTCTGTACCTCAAATGTACCTACTGCTTGACTTGTTACACTCACTTTAAAAGGAGAACAATCAGAAAGTCCTTGAACATCAGTATTCATAGTATGATCCATTGACAATTTAGTCTGCAAATTGTGTACTGGCATACTTTTGCTCATTGAAAGATCAAGATAGGTTCTCATTTCAGATGGCTCCAGATTATTTCTAGAGGGTTGTACAGTCATTGTCATTCGGGACTCTGTACTTGAAGGCGTTTTGCCTATAAGGGCCTCTGCAGAATAACTGGAAACCCTATTTCTTTCTTGCCTGTGGGGAGCACATTGTATATCAGAATGCCGCGATACAGGATTTGTTTTGGCATCCATTTGTTGTTCCAATGATCTTGATGACATCAACCTCTGAATGCGAGATTGCCCAGATACTGGCTCTAAAGAGACACCTGAACCCTGTTGTCTATTGCTTCCATTATCATGATGCTGTTGTTGGTGCAACAGATCTTGACCGTGGAGATTCTGTGTATGGCTGCTGTGATGATTTCTATTGGTTATGGAATTATCACATCCTTTTTCTTGATGAGAATTCCCGAAATGTGAATGCTGCATTTGCTGCTGAATGTGCTGATGATGATGGTGATTCCCTTTCTGTCGTCCTTGGTCATTCCCACCAGGATGTGTTTTTTGCTGCAAGGGCAGTTGGGGCGTTGGATTTCCTCGAATAAGGCCTCTTTTTTTCTGCATCTGAACATCTTGCTGTGTGGTCCGGGATTGCTGGACCCTGTGAGTCTGCTGTTGGATTGAGGGCTCAGCTTGTGAAAGGTGATGTTGAAACTGATATAAATTCCTTTCTCTCATCTGTCCCTGATGGTGCTTGTAGTAAGTGTGGCTGTGATGAAGATTAAGTCCAGCTTGTGAAGAGATATTCTGCTGTGACACCATATGCTGTTGTAGCTGCTGCCTGCTTTGCAGTCCTTGGGTTTCTTGAATTGATGGCTGTACACTGCAATGGGTTTCAATTTGTCTTAAAGTACCAACAGGATTAGAACTCAGGAAATTAGTTGGAGGGAATAAGGTGCTTAGACTGTCCATGTGTCCTGGGCTACTACTGGATACTAAAGAGGTTGAAGAATTTGATGCTAACTGGCTAATAAATGATTGGCCACATTCGGGAATAATTTCAGGAAGTGTATTTAGCGTTGTCTTTCCTTCAAGTCTCGAGGTTATACTCGTGCATTGTTTTTGCCTTTTTGGCGTAGAAATTAGGTGATCATCTGTCACAATACGCTTTGTTGCATCCTTTCGAATATTATTACTTTGCTTTAAATGTGCTCCCTGAACCTGTGAAGCCTGCACCGTACCTTTTATTGAATTTAACTGTTCATGAGAATATTCTACTAATAGAGTAGGTTCAGAAGATTGGGCAGTGTAGGAACTGGATCTACTTGAGAGACTAGCTGTAACACAAACTGGAAGTTGCTCTGCAGGTTGTGTCAGACCAGAAGAGCAAACATGAATTTGGTTTGCTTCGCTATGGCACACAAGATTAATTACACTCAAGCTGGCAGTGACAGAAGCTGACGATGATGTAGAAATCAGTGACGTGCTTGGTGTTTGTTTTGCAACAGTAGAATTCTTACTTAAAGAGGTCCCTGGTATGCTAATGTCCAGTAATAGTGATCGATGGGCTTGTCCTTCAACTGAACCAGCTTCTATCAAATTAGTACGAACTTTATCTCCAAGGCTTTTCGCAGGTTGTTGACTTCTACAGCTTTCTTTTTCAGCAGATGAAGCTCTTTGAGCTTTAGATTGCATATCACATACAGTAACATCTGTGATTATACTTTTCCCAGGACTTTCATGTTCAAAAATTGCCCTAGCAGCAAGAGCCACTATATCATTCTGTTCTGACAAACTGCAGTTATTCAATGTACTGGTCATTGTGCATGAGGCATCTTCTCGGGTTGTATCTGGTAGCATTGAAGCAACAGAAAATCCACGGCTGCTACCAGAGCTAGTGGACATGGGTGACTCAGTCTGCCGATTGATAATCAAAGAGTTTCCTATACTTTCTTGATCTGGATTGCACAAATGATGCTGTGCAACAGTTTCACCTTCTGTACTCGCCAACAAAACATCTTTCTGATGTTCATCCTTCTCATAAAACAACATGCTGGATGGTGTCTGCTTGGAATTGTCCACAGATAATTCATTGCTAGAACACGAATCTTTCAGCACTGACAATGAAGAGTTTTTCTGAGTCGATGAGGGCTTGTCACTATGTGTGACTCCACTTATTGTGTCACAATCCTCCTGGTTGGGTATTTCTTTATTCATCAAATAATTGCTTATTTCCAACCGTTCTTTGTTCCAATCTTGGGTCCTGACTTCCTCGGTCTTACTCCTTTTTTGTTGCGATTCAGTGAAAGATTCCAATTGTGATGTATCACTGGTTACCACAGATGTATTGCATGCATTTTCCACAGCAGTCTGCAACTCAATTAAACTATTATTTTTGTCCATAGTAAATGTTTCTGAAACTTCAAGAGAAGCATTTGAACAGTATGATAATGATGCAGGAAGTGATGTTGACACACCTGTGATTACACACGGTGAGCAATCTGCAGATGAAACAATTTTAGCCAATTCATCTTGTGATGAAGCCGGTGGCAAGGAATCATCTAAAACAGATGTGACTATCATCTCAGTTACTATGCTAGATTCAGTGCCAGGTTCAACTGGCACTGATAAAGATGCTGGTTCAGCTAAACATGCCGCTACATTTTGGGAGAATCCCTCTGATAATTTTGGCATTTGTTGTGTATCTAATATGTCAGTGGAAGTGGTGGTAGAAAGGTTTACTGTAGATGTGACTGATGTCAGTATCTGAGATACTGATGATGGCTGAGATATTGTCAAACTCTTCTGTGACAAAACATGATCTTCACTGGTTAAAAGCTGTGAGGGGTTATCTTTGCTATTAGATTTAATAAATTCAGGCCTACTAGGGGATGTTTTTGATTTATTCCCAATATTTGTGACCTTCTTTGTGGCAGATAGTTTGGAAGAAAGGGGTTTCTTTTGAACCTTTTTGGATTTGCAGTTTGAGGAGACACCAAGAGAAGATTTTAGTGAAGAGTTTGTCGTGGGCCAAGCTTGGTGCAATGTTGCTGAATTCAATGAAGTCCTCAAAATATCTGTACTAATATTAACTACTGTTGTGTCAGCTACACAGTTACTGACAGAGCTCATCTGGGTATTAACTGTTGCTGGAGGATTAGGTATTTGAGTACTAGCTATCTGCAAGCAACCTTGCCCTGCCATCTGCGAGATACTTTTATTGAGGTTAGTCAATGCACCAAACGTTTTAAGGGCAACATTGGTATTTGGATCTGCACTGGTCGTTGGCTGAATAATCTGCATAGGATTCTGGGTAGAGATTCCAGATTGCTTTACTGGCTGCAAAGCAAACAATTGTCCATTCACAGAGATGGTCTGCTGTTGCGGACTTGAAAACGACTGTGAGTTAGCAGATGCAGATGAAGAAACTGGTCTTGGTAATATGTGAACAAGGTGTTTTCCTCCAACAGTTTGAACACTTGATGTGCTCTGTACGTTATTGCTACTACACACAACTTGATTGGTATCAAGGATTGGTACCCTGTTATTTGCTTGAGCAGGAACAACTGATACTGCATTCTGGCTAGCTGCTTGAATGATCACAATTTGCTGGCCTGGCGTATGACTGCTAATGCCCCCTCTGACCACAGCTGGCGAACTTGGATTAGCTGGCTGAAGAATTATCAAGTTCTGATTGCCTGGAGTGGAGGAAACCGATGGCACTGAAGCATGAGCCATCTGAATCACCTGTAAAGGTGGAAGTAATGAAACAACCTTGGTTGCTGATTGAGCTGGAATTTGAGGCTGCGGTGGGATTGGCTGCAATGGTAAAGGTTGGACAGAGGGCACAGTAACTGCTACCGGTTGTTTAAGTTGTGGTTTGTAAACAGGACAAAGGGAAACCCCATTCAATGTTGCTGAAGAGGAAGATGGAACTACAGATACATTATTATTTGATGGCCCACTTTCAGAAAATGAGAAGGAATTTCTGGTATTTACGTCATCACTTAATGATGTTGGCACAATGCTGCAGCCAACTTGACTCATGGGAAGTACAGTGTTGCCCTCTAGTTGTAATGTAGTCCATGTAGTTTGTGTGTTGCCTGAGGATGCCATACGTGTAAAAGTACTGACACTGTTTGAATCCGAAGTGCCAACATTTGTAGAAGCAGAGCAAGAGACAGTCCAAGAGCTGGCTATTGGACAAGACGGCATTACACCTGTATTAGATATTGCTCCCGCTTTAAAAGACTGAGATGGAGCAACAAGACTGCTAGTTGACAAAGGTGTACTTTTGCCAATGTTTAAACCTAATAGGTTTTGTGAGCATTCCATAATGGATAATCTTGTAGATCCAAACACAGCATCTTGGCTGGATGAGGCATGTGGCAGTGATCCAAAAGCTGGTTCCTGTGTTGTGTTAGAGTTGTCAAGACTTGCGCATGATGTATCCGTTTGCTGTGACTGTAATGTCAGAGCAAAACATGTGCTACGAGAAACATCTGTGCTCTGTGTAGAACTGCTGTTGGCAGCTTCCAAATCGCTCTGTCCAAATTTGCCTTTGGAACATTCTAGAATCTGTGAAGAGCAGCTTGTAGGACAGCTGCTAGGAGGACACTGAAGCTCCATCTCTCCAGTATTGTTAAGTGGAATATTAAGCACACTCTGTACAGTACTGCTGGTGGTACATGGAACATCAGTCTGAGAAGATCTCGTTGTAGGAAGACACTTTGTAACTTCTTGCTGTGAAATCTGTGCTGTCTGAACCGGGGCATTATTTTCTAATGGGCAGATATTTGGGACTGCCACTGGCACAATAATATCAAGACTAGTTTCTGATAGATTATTTTTCTGCCCAGGGAGAATATTCATACTCTCCTCTGGTAGACTAGGATTAACATTGTACAGATTCTGTATTACTGCTTCTTGGCAGTTGCTATTCAGTTGATTTCCATCTGAGTAAACTAATATGTCCTCTTGCATCTGGTTAGAAGAAATAACCATTGTAACTTTTGCATTTTTTAGTTTTCCCTTCCAGTGAATCGTAGGGTCATCATATAAGCAGATATCATTGGCCTTCAGTAATTCCATATAACGTCCATTTTCCTTTTGTAGCTCATCCAATTGCTTTCGAAGTCTTTTAATCTCTTCACCTGCAAAATTAAATGCAAATATATTTGTATCAATCCCCCCCACTATAAGCATGCCGTTTCCATAGTTAATTTTTTAAAATCTAAATAATGGTTATTTTGATTGAGACGTTTATACCATCATTCTGATTGCATACAACATGTTTAAACCTGAGAGTGTCCATTGTTTGTGTTAATAGCCAAAGTATGTGACCAACATAAGATTAGTGTTTAACTTCCCCAATGTAGAATGGCTTTTTGACACAAAATATTCCAGCCAGAAAATTAAAAAGCTCATCAAAATCAGGATAGGAAATGGATACTGTAAAACAATTGAATCTTTACAAAGGTGAGATAAGTATGAAGAATTTTGAGGAATAAAACCATTTACTGGTTTCAGATGTTCATTGATGTCATCACATACATGCAGTTCGATTCAACATGCCTGACCTCTGCTGGCCAACTTTTAAAGAGTCTTTCAATTTATAACCAAGTGTACATAAGCAGATTGCTGAAGCTAGTATTTCTTCATAGAATGGCTTTAAGGCAGAATCCTAGCCAATAATCCTCCAAATTAATATCGTGTTTCACCTGATGTGGTTTGCGGAACCTTCCTGGTGGAAATAGCTGCTGTTTCCCTGCAAAAAGTCTGACTACACTTGACAGCAATTACTTATGAAATGCTTTGAGATAATTTGACATGATTAAGGTATAAAAATAAAAGTATCTTTATTATTAATAATATTTTGCTTTTATGCAAAAAAATCTCAAAAACATCTTTACGAATTGTAAGTAATTGGAAAATAAGTACTTTATAGTCAAACATGGTCAAAGTTCAGGGTAAAAAAAGGAATAACTAATACATTTTAAGAGTTAATTTGGATTAGGAGGGGAATATAAACTAGAAGAAAGACTTATTGAAATTGCAATGGTCCCTTTATGTACATCTGAATCAAAAAGATAGACAGAATCTATATTAATAACAGAATCAAAGAATGATAATGAGAAAATAAATAATACATTTATATATATTATAGAAGGTTATGCAGGAAAATGCAGCAGTAATGTTCCACAAATGAGTAAAATTTTAAATTAAAAAGAAAAAGGCAAGAAACAGGAAAGTAAAAATGGGGGAGAAAAAAAAATAGAAAAATGAAGCTAGGGAGCTCAGGTCAGGGGTGGCAGTCAGTTACACACCAGAGCAGGTTAGAGGACTAAATCAAGCATATTCTTACAAATCTCTGCAAATGTTGAGCAACACAGCAGTTCAAAAGTGCAACAGTTCCAGAGGATGTGTTTGCTTTAAAAGTTTGAACAATACAATAATATAGCTGACATATATAGAGTTGAAAAAACAATCTCAAAACGTGACAACAAAACTGAATGGTCTCAAATTTTTGTAGACGATAGTCCCTGACCAATAACTTAGTGATATATTCTAAAATCCAATTCACTAACTCCTGTTAATTGACTGTTAATATAATAAATAATAATATTATTATTACTGGTAACAAACTTTTTAAGATAAACTAAAGGAAATGAAAGTCCAAGAAATTCCAGTCTCTTTCCAAGTGACATTTGCTATTTTCTACATATAATAATAATAAAAGGCTGCTTATTTATGCCCTTACTTTGTTCTTTGGTTCCTCCATTTAATAGGAGTTCATCATTCTGTTTCTTCAAATCTGATATGTACTTGAATGCTTGGTCTAATATCATGTTTTTACTCTGGAAACAATAATAAAATTAAAGTTAATAAAACTCAGTATATTAGTGATTTTAAGAGAAAAAATCTGGTTATAACTTTGTTTAAAGAAAACAGAAAAGAGACAAATTGATGGGTCAATGAGTAACACATGAGCATGCTGCTGTGGGAATGATGCTCCCCCTGGTTTGAATGCCGGTACCGATGAACTGCTGTACATTTCTCCTCAGTAACATTTATTAAATATAGAATGGTAGTGCTATTTCAACATTCAAAACTAGGAACACACTTTAAAGTAATGTTGATCATTTATTTAATATATTTTAATTACAACTTAAACTGAATATATGTAGTGTAGGCCATAGTTTTTTTCATTTTATTTTATTAAGAAACTTAACTGAAGGATGAAGTTTGAAAAGATTAGGTGCAAAGACATGTAATAGTGTGATAATAAGAAGCTTGGATTTAAAAAGCTTGTAGATTACAGGGGAAATGAGACACTGAGGGAGGCAAGTAGTTTGACAAGTTTGAGGTCCTGGAAAAGAATGAATTGGAGTAGGAGATGATGTAAAGAGAACCAACTTCAGCACAGTTAAAGAGGAAGAAACAATGCTGATGTTGGAGTCTATCAAGTGAATTTGTGAACTATGTTTAAATGCAGGAATGAATGCTTTCAATAAGAATGAGTTTCATAACTCACTTATTTGACTTCAGTAGCATGCTTACATATCTAAATGTTTATTGATTGGGAAGTTGCACAAGTATATTGCGCCAATAAATCATTCCCTAAATGATCAGTAGTGCGATCAGTAACGTTTTGGGCTGCGTGTATCTTATCCTTGACATCTTGATCTTGACATCACAACACTGTAATTTTCTTTTTTCAAAATATTACTGACATCAGACTCAATTAGGGCAAATTCTAGAAATGTTTTAAGGGGGTTAAGTTTTGAATAATAGTATGGAGTCTGCTATCTTAATTTGAAGCTGCCCCCATTGTGAATACAGAAACCATGCAGATTAAGTTTTTCTGTGTACTCATGTATGCGCATGCACACACTCAGCTCACTCACTCTGTATTTGTATGCATGTCCCTACCTGTTTGTTAATGAGCCTATATCACTGTAATCTTGTATTTGTATTTACAAGGATCAGATTTCTCCACTTCTTGCTGCTGGTTCACATTTCAGCTTCATTAAATTGTAACCTCAAAAGCTTTGTGTGCATATGCACAAATAAAAACATTTCCCCAACTCCGCAACCTGCCCCGACTTCTTGACTTGAGTTTGTTCTTGTATGGAAAACATTAAAATGAGGAATTAAAGAAATCTACAACTTAAAGAGTTCCTGGTAAAATTGTAACCCTGATCTGAANTTTTTTATAAACCAACTACTTTTCAATTGGAATGTGTTGAAATAAAATTATTGACGGAGATTCATCCTCTGTATATGAATGACTTAACCCAGTGATGATACGTATAAGATCGGAAATAGTTTTACCTGCTTCAGAGCAGGCGAGCATGGAATAAGTTCTCCAATTTTGTTTATTCCAGTGTTAATCTTCTTTTTGCGATGCCTTTCCACTAGGAAAAACAGAAAATTATAAAATGTTAAGATTTATAGTAATTTTTTTAAAAATTATTTTCTATTTTTCTACCTCCTTTCCTCAAATCCTTTCCTTTCCATGCACATGTAGCCTATTCTACATCCCAGACAAGTGGGCAGGTTTGAGATCTGCTCCGAGGCTGCTGAGTTTCTCCACTCTCCCTATGGAGAATTGTCTGGCGTCACCTTGGTAACTCCGATTGACGAGATGGTTGAGATTGTGATCTCACTAAATTACGAAAATGAACCACATTGAAATCATTCTATGGCACAATGCACTAAACATTGAAACAAATGTGACCATTGAATCAGGTAACTAACAAGTTACCCTGTATGGGCAATGTGGATCTTCACATCCATTGCCATATACAGTGAGTGTACTATGGGTATGCACTGAATCCATAATATCTGTAAAAGAATTGTTTTGGATATCCATCTTTTTAGACGCATATTGCATGACTTCCCATCTCATATCCAATAACATATTACCACACACTTTCTTCATTTATTTTCCTCTGGATGTAAAGAGGTTAAGTTGTTATTGATCAATCTTAGGGTGAGGGTGTACAGTTGATTGCCAAAACAACTGATAGTGCAATTAATGGACATTGACAGCAATCTGCAGAAGAAACAGTTAACATTTCATTGTTCTCCAGCTGAATAACTTCAGTAAGATTCAAATAATTCTTACAGCAGTTCTTAGGTGGACAGTGAGACAGTTACAGTTAGCTTAACATGAAAATATATGGAATATTTATCTCCCATATATAGAAAAGCTACATTTGGCATAAACAAGACTCATCACATTACATATCATTGTTATTAATGACTGGAAAAAAATTTCTTGCAACCTTTACAGATATATCCGCACCACCTTTTGAGTATTTTCTCAGATGCCTTGCTTTACAATAGCTTTCTTTCCAAAGTCAAATTATTTTGTACTGAAGTGATTAACAGGACACAAAGCTCTACAAGTTGCTATAAAATGTAAAGTCAAACCTATAAACTTCTTTCACGTGGACTTTTAGCACCTAATCAACAGCTGGGATTCCAGGTCAAGAAAAAATTAATTTAATATGAGGTAGTGCCAATTTTCCTCAAATCGGTAGGATCGCCAATTTTGCCATTTATAAAGTCAACTGGGTATTAAGTATTTAATGACTTTGAAGACACAAGTATACATTCTGTGAAAGCATGGTTTCTTACCCTGCCTAAACATTATTAGAATCCACCCTTGGTACTCATTGCTCTAAATCACACATTCACATCAAGGCTATATTTGAATAATAATCTTTGCATTTGATATAGCGCTTTTTCACATCATTGAAACGTCCCAAAGCACTTCACAGAATACACTGTAAAGTGAATTGACTGTATATTTTGTGGGCGAAACGCAGCAGCCAATTGCGCAAAACAGTGTCCCACAAACAATCTTGTAGTGAGTGACCAAATTTTTTTTTTTAAAACATTTTTTTTGAAGGGATTATTACCGCCGGAAAAGAAATCTGCCAAACGACTAACAACCTTATTGCTAGGTAAACAATTAAGAGTTCACATCTTTAAATCGTATTCCCAGCCTGTGGAAACTGGCTGTATATATCATATAATTATCATCATCATCATTTTTTTTAAATGCACCGCATGTTCATGGGTATAGTAAATACAGAGTGCTTATTTAAATGTCCCCTCCACCAAAGTTAGGATTTCTCCAGCCAGTGATCAAGCAATCAACTAAGGTAAATCAAGAAGCCATAGAGTTTTGCAAAAGACAGAAGGGTGTAAAGTTAGAGGCAGCAACCAATTTTCAAATGTGTACCGCATTTAAAATAAATCATAAATATAGGAAACCTGTCTGGGTGCTCATTTAGCCAACTGGTACAGCAGTATACTCACAAAGCTGCTGTAGGAGTTAAACCTACATTAAATAACTCAGAAGTTTGCATGTACCCAAACAGGTTTCCTTTTTTTTTAATATAAACTTTCCCTCAAAGTGTGTGCTCACCTTTCCAGAGCCTTTTTTTTAAAAACATTTTTGGAATAATAGAGTGGATAATAGCGTGGATTCTAGGGGTAGTCCGCAGTGTTTTAATGAGACGTAGGAAATAAACTGTTAAGACTGTATTGACCTTGTGGACACTGATAGAGTAATATTTTATTATTGGGTGGTTATATTATTTCCAGCTCTAATATAATACTATGGCTATAAAATTCAAAATAAACGTTCTTACCTGCATTGTGAGTTTCTCTATTTTTCTTCCTATAATGCAAAATATAAAGATTAGTCCAATTCTTAACCCGCTTTGTATAAAGGGGCAAAAGTGGATTGGAAAAAAAAATTACTACATTGAATTCTTCCCTCTTTTAACTAATTTTGTACTTTTATGCATCTGACTTTCTCTATCCCTTTACTTATCTGACATCCATATCGTTGTCTCAGAGATGTCTTTTGTCAAAGCTGATACGCCCTAATTTATCCAGTCGCTCCTCATCGTTCAATTCAAAAATCAGGGATCAGTCTCATTGTTGTCCACTGCACTCACTGTAGAGCCAGTGCGCTCCCCTTATGTTGCAAGAATCAGAACTGGATGCATAGTGCAAGCATTCTTGTATAAGAATGACTGTATTCTTCTTGAATATGGGAATCTTATTTGCTTGTTTCTAATTTGTTGGAACCTCCCCAGTGTCAATTTACTTCCTCAAAAAGATCCTCAGTAGTTCATAAATATCCTTAATTGACATTTGTCACCATCAAGCTATCAACAAAGAACAAATTGATCATGAATCCCCAAACCAGTAGAACAACTGCAAACAATAATTGGGACGGAGGAGTAAACGCACATTACTAAATGCATTTAGACAAAATAACAAAAGTATCTTCTTGTGACTGTAAAATATACATCAGTTTCTCCAAAACACATTTTTTCTAAGCCAACTAATACTCAGCCATATTTTTCACAAAATTACAAGCTTTTGCATTCCAAAATTCCCCACTCAAATAAACTTAACCTGAAATACCAGAATCTCAGGTTGCCATTAAATAGACAGGAGTGTTGATTTGTGCATTCCAGAAAGATAAGTGGCCATACAATTAGTGATGCAAAGTCTTATAAACTTCTGCTGTAACAGAAACAAATAATCATTGCATTTGTGTATTTTGTGAGAAAATGTGGTAACCAATTTGCAATCAACAATGGCCCATAAACAGTTTGTGAATGACGAAATATTTTTAGTTGGGGGAACTGTTGCACAGGCCAGCGGAAGAAACTTCCTTCCCTTCATGAATAGTGGCAATAGTATTCTTTGATGTACACATGAAAAAGCAGATGGGAACTCAATTTAATACCTTTTCCAAGTTGTCCGATCACCAATATTGCCACTTTTTGTGCATTGCTTAGTCTTGTACCTTAGTGGTTAGAGCACTCGCCTCGCAAGCGAGAAAACCTGGGTTTGATTCCCAGGCAGGGCGAAACGTTAGGCAAGTTTCCTTACTCCACACGCCTCTGTTTACCTAGCAGTAAGCAGGAACCCAGTTGTTAGTCAATTGGCGGATCGCTTTACCTGGGGTAATAATTCCTTCAAAATAAATAAAAAATAATTTGGTCACTCAATACACGACTGTTTATGGGACACTGCTGTGCACAATTGGTTGCCGCATTTCACCCACAAAATTATACAGTTAATTCACTTTACAATATCTTCTGTGAAGCGCTTTGAGACATCTCAAAGACTCTCAATATATCAATATATCAAATGCAAGGATTATTATTATACCAACCCATGAATGCTCTGCTATGGGCAGGAAGCAATCTCAGTGGCAACCCAGAAAATTGGCCATTTTTGTGCTTTGTTTATACTGTCTAAGATATTGGACCCCAAGGATCGCATTATAACAAGGTTCCCAGTTTTGAGTTTGTTTCATAATTGACCTAATTTACAGAAATTAAGTCCAATTAATGTACATTTCTATTAAATTATCAGCACACATGCTGATGGATACAATACATACCATTTTTTACGACAATATTTTAAACAGCTAAATCCCTCAATTGGTTGAAGAATGTTGGAAGCCAGACCTCTTCCATACTGTGGAAAACCTGAAGAAACCTTTTAACGTGCAATAAAGAGATAGCAGACTTACAAAGGTCACCATAAAAAGAGGGCCTTCTCTGTAAATAGCTGGACTGAGACAGAAGAGCATACAAATCCATTCTTTGACCCTGGAAGAACTAAACAATTCAGTTCCACAACTTGCCTGTGAGTCCTATGCATAGGTGTCTGATTTTCTGTCATTTCTGGCATTGTGATTGCAGGCTCGCCTCCTCCTTCTACTGTGGTAACAAGAAGACAAAAAACAATGAATTAATGATTCGTTGAAGTAAAGATTAACCAAGTCAATAGTTTACCCATCAATGCAAATCTGGTGCTGGATACATATAAATCCATTTTACCTGATAATTGGTGTGCATATACTGGAATGGGTACCAAAAGTTTGTCTTTATAAGAGATTTGTCTTCTCCCTTCCCTCCAAGCTATTTGCTTAAAGCTCCTCAGCCCGTTATATTGAATCCTCTTTCTTACCGAGGGATATCACTTTTGTTTTACAGTAAGAAACTATTCAATGTTTGTCAATGTTATACCGGAGGTTTTGTCAACTCAACCAAAATTTAAAGAAATCATTCAGCATAACTAAGCTAATAGTGATACTACTGCTTGATGGGTCACTGTCATTTTGTTTAAGCAAGCTGTAAGAAAGAAAAACTTGACTGGGCAGCAATGTTTTGTGAAATACAGCACGTGGGTGTGAGAAACTAGAGCTATTTATCAAGTCGTGTAAGACTTGATAAATGCTCTAGTATTAAAAGCTGTAATTTTTAAACTCATGAACAATAGGAGATACCCGAAAACAAATATGCCCATGTCACTCCCAAGTGCAAGACCTTTCCTTTAAAGTATAAATCATGTCTCTACGTCAATCAGCTATTGAGATCCTTCTTGAAGCGCAGACAGACATTGTTGTTTTATTAGTGTAGAAGAAGATAGAGTAAAAATACTTTTATTAAAATATTATAGGGCTTGAATGGAAAGCTGAAAAATCGACTGTAGTCAGTAAATCTAATAACTGTCAAGGTTTATTTACGACAAATCTGGACAGCGGCTGAGGTGTTGGGTTTCCCACAAGACAATTTTATTGCAATGATATACTATAAAGTGAATTGCCTGAATATTTTATAGGTGAATACACCAACCAAGTTGTGCATAGCAGTGCCCCCCAAAACAGCCATGAGGTGAATAACCAATTTTATTTGGAAGATGGTTGGCCAGGACATTTGGAGAAACTACCTTCTCTTTTCTAACTTTCTATCTTTAATGTCCACCTGAGGGTTCAAAACGTCACCCGAGGGAGAACATTTCCAAGAATTTAGCAAACACTGCATACAGTGTTTGTATACATTTAAAATCCTGACATGGGGATTGAACCTGCAACCTTTTGATTCAAAAGTGGCAAAAGTGCTACTAACTGAGTCGATCTGAAGCAAAGTGTGTATACCTACCAACTAGGCTCCATTATTTTAAAACAAAAAGTGAAACTGGATACTAAAAATACATACATACTTGTTTGTTGCAAAGAGAACCTACATGAAATCTCCAACATGTGACATATGCAGATGCCAGTACTATTATATATATATATATGTGTGTGTATTACATATATATCCTCAATCAATAAGCACATATATATTCTCCTGGCATCTGAATATGTTCAATCATCATTTGCACTTTCTAATTTGCCAGATCCATTATTAAAGGTGATGTTGTGCAGGGCTGCCAGAGGTGTCTTGAGATGGAAAATAAAATCCACAGATATTTTGTGTAATCTTATCAAACTGGTCAGTAAACTGACCAGCAAGGATATTCCAAATTGTCTTAATTTAATCAATACTGTAATGTACACAATTTGGAGTCACTAGAGTCAGTCAGTGGGTCTTAACCAATTTTAAATGGAGTCAGTTATATTCACTGTTCTCAATCTAGTCAAGAGTAGATTGTGCTTTATCTTTGCCCTAAATTAGTTTAAGCTCTTATACTTATCAAAGCACCAAAATCATTGTTTTCAATTCTCCTTTTAAAATAAATTGATGAAATTAAGCTTCTGTTCAGAGATGGATAAAGATGATAACAATTAGTCTTATCATCTTTATTGGGGTCACAATTTACATGAAAAAAAGTTTCTGTTTGATTTTTCAAGTTAAGTTAGATGATTGTTACAACAGACTCAATCAAATACTTTTTTTTCTAAGTCCTTCTCCAGTCTACCTGAATAGATATCAGCATTTTTCTGGTCTGCATACTGCTCTTGCTGGCAAAACAAAATTAATTGGTGTTGGAGGGGCCACATTCTATCTTCAAATGCAACCATTGAAAAAAAAAAGTTTCCAAGATATAACAAGCAACACAAATACGAATGAATTTCCATTCTAATGATCTCATTCCTCTTTGTCCCCCTCCCATAGAAAGGGAACATTTTGTCCATTAACTAAAATGTAGTTTTGTAAAGGTCCAATTAAAATTTGACAATAAGTGACGAACAAACCAATTCAAGAATAAAGTTGATGATAAATATACTGACAATTGAAAGCACAATACAGCATTTAAGAAGTTTATGTAATTGTAGTGTGAGTTATACTGTAGATTCAACAGGGTTTGCTACAGTTAATACTGATGGTTTTAACTATAGCATGTCACTCAGAATGTACAGTATAACTGTAATACTACACATTCAGAACTTCTATCCAGGCAATAGGACATATTTTCATATTATCAGATATGACTCAATTGATTTGGAATGCCTATTGCAACAGGAAGGAATCATAGTTATACGGAGCGATAAAATACAAAAACAAGCCATTCGGACCAACTCGTCCATGTCAGTGTTTACACATAAGCCAATTTAAATCATTCATTCCCCTCTTTCCAATTAAAGGAGTTGAAAAGGTAAATAAAAGAGTGTCAAAACACAAAGATATGAAAATGTACTATAAAATGGCCATTTATTGTTTGCATGTTTAGAAAGGCAAAGAAATTTCATTCCAACTCCAATATAAAATATATTTTACACTGTTAATTGAACAACAACAAAATTACATTTGTATAAGGGCCTTTCATGTCGTGAGGACGTCCCAAGGCGCTGGACAGTCAGTGTTTCGGACCCAAGCTGGGTGATTGAAGGCACCGGTCAGAGGGTCTTGAGACGAGTTTTGAAGGAGGCAAGGGTGGGCGCAAGGTAGAGGGACTACAGGATGGAGTTCCGGAGGGTGGGGGCAAAGTGGCAGAAGGCCCACTCGTCAATGGTGGGGTGGGCAGGGTGGGGGACATGAAGCTGGCCGGTGCACGTTGAGCGGGCAGGTTGGTAGCGGGTTAAAGGTTACAGAGGTAGGTGGGGGACAAGGCTGTGGAATGGAGGACCAGGATCTTGACATATATCCGCTGTGTGATGGGAAGCTAGTGCAATCGGGCAAGGACGGGGGTGATAGGGTCACGGAGCCTGGTGTGGGAGAGGACAGTTCTAGATGATCTGCAGCCTATGGAGGGAGGAATTGGGGAAGCCGACAATCAGGGAGTTTGCGTAGTCCAGCCTGGATGTTATGAATGTGTGAGACAGTGGCGGAGCTAGACGATCTTGCGGTGGTGGGGCAAGCCAGAGCGGAGCATGGCACGGATGTGGGGTAGAAAGGATAGTTAAGGGTCAAACAAAATGCCAAGGTTCTGTCTGGACTGGCTTAATAAGGTGGAGAGTGCATCCTTGGATGGTGAAAGATAACAGTTTAATCTGAAACTGTTACGCATTTTTTTTGCTCACTCCTTGCTATTGGTTACTGACCTATCCCTAACCTATCCCGATCCCTAACTCTCTTCTAGACTTTGAACCTCATTTCCTCTTTTTTCATCTTCAAAACCCTCTCAAAAAACATTTTGTTTTGACTGGTTTTGGTCAGCATTCTTAAATGTTCCATTTTTTCTGCTCCGTGCATTATATTATCTGTTAACCGCTTTGAGGTGTTGATTTTATGTGAAAGGCATTATATAAGTACAAGTTGGCATACAATACAATTTACATTTATATAGTGCCTTTCACATCACGAGAATATCTCAAAACACTTAACACAGCTGGCTGGTGGGGCGGTGGTGGGGCGGTGGGAAAAAGATAACCAAATATTTGGTCAAAGAGGCAAGTCCTGAGTTGGGCTTCGAAAGTGGAAAGTGAGGGGATGAATCGAGGGACTCCAGGATGGTGTTCCAGAAACCAGGGACAGAATAGCTAAAAGCTTGCCCAACAATCGTAAGGCAAATAAGGGAGATGTAGTAAGCCAAGTGTAACCTGGGATATAATGTGAAAAACATTCTTGCTGGCACACATACATAAGGAGTACTGTGATGTACATTTTAAACTTTGTAGAGCATTTCCGATTCTCTATGATGGCTGTAAAACCATCATGGGGAATTTCATTAATTGTGTGATTTTCCACAAGACTTTCGCTATCTTATATCTCATAGAAAATATCCTCTACCCAAGGGAACATTTTTCTGAATATCTTAAATGGAGAATTTGTTTCCCCATTTATTTATATACTCACAAATTGCCAATATGCTCACATTACTTTATATATACACATTATATATTGTATATATTGAAAGGAGACTGAATAAGATGTAATGATTTAATGATGAGAATTAAAGATCTCAATGGCAGCCGAAACAATCTTTGTACAGCTCCACCTTCTTGCCCCTCTAATCACTGACATCATAAACCTCTCCCTGTCCTCTGGTACTGTTCCCACCCCATCAAAAACCACCGTCATCACTCCTATCCTTAAAAATTCCTCCCTGGACCCTTCTCTACTCCTAAACTACCTCCCCATCTCCAACCTCCCTTTCCTCTCCAAGGTCCTGGAACGAGTTGTTGCTTCTCAGCTTCGCTGATTCCTTTCCCACCACTCGCTTCTCGAACCCCTCCAATCAGGTTTCCGTGCCACCGCTCTGGTCAAGGTGACAAATGACATTCTGTCCATCTGTGACCAGGGCTCCTTCTGCCTCCTCGTCCTTCTTGACCTCTCTGCTGCCTTCAACACCGTCGACCACACTATCCTCATCCACCATCTCTCCTCTCACTTCAACCTTCACAGCTCTGTCCTGTACCTCTCACACTGCCTCCACTTTATCTCCACAAACAGTTTCTCCTCTAGCCCCCAAGGCATCTCGTGGGGTGTTCGTCAGGGCTCCGTCCTTGGTCCCCTACTCTTCAATATTTATATGCTCCCTCTTGGTGATATCATCCACAGACATGGGGTCAACTTCCACCAGTATGCGGATGACATCCAACTCTACCTCTCTTGTTTGACCCTCAACTATATTTCTACCCCACATCTGCACCATGACCCACTTTGCCTTCCCCCACCTCAGTGACATCGCCAAGCTCCGCCACTGTCTCACACCGCAGGCGGCCAAAACCCTCATACATGCCTTCATTACATCGATCATGCAAGCTCATTGCTTGTTGGCCTCCCCAACTCCCGCTCCACAGGCTGCAGTTCATGCAGAACTCTGCAGCCAGTGTCCTCTCCCACACTAGGCTCCGCGACCCTATCATCCCCTTCCTTGCCCAACTCCACTGGCTTCCCATCACCCAGACGATACAGTTCAGGATCCTGGTTCTCACCTTCAAAGCCCTCCATGGTCTTGCTCCCCCCTACCTCTGTGACCTCCTAACCCCCTACCACCCGGTTCGCTCCCTCTGCTCAGCGGGCTCCGGCCTGCTTCATGTCCCCGCCTCGCTCGCCCCACTATTGGTGGGCAGGCATTCCTCCACTCTACCCCCACCCTCTGGAACTCCATCCCACAGTCCCTCCGCCTCGTCCCCTCCCTTTGCCATCTTCAAGACCCATCTCAAGACCCTCCTCCTCAACCATGCCTTCGATCTTCCTGCTTCCACTCTCCTCGACCCCAGGTCCGAACCTCTATCTGTCCAGCACCTTGGGATGTCCTCCCGACGTGAAAGGCGCTCTACAAATGTAATTTTGTTGTTGTTGGTGAACTATTATTTCATCTCTAATGTTTGAAGGGTTAAAAGTTCAACATTTTCCTTTAAATATATAATACATAGCAATAGTTCCAAATGATCACTAAATAATGATATATCATCCATGGATATGACGCTTTACATTTAAATACAGTGGATTACATTGTAGAATAATTTTAACCTGGATTAAACCACTTAAACGATAACAAAACAAACTCCACAGTTCTCTCAAACTATTCAGAAGTACACAGTGGAGAAGCTATTTCATGTCAGCCTGAGTCACTCACACATCTCACAGTTCAGCATATTATTATCATTATCAGAGTGATATTCGATGATTCCTGCAAGCAGGTCACCTTCCAGCCCTCCCAAAGAAGCAAGTGGTGGATGAGAAAAACAAGGAAAGAGGTAATAATCTGAATAAGGAATGGCACATGTAGTACAGAATTACAACCGGTTTTGAAACCAAGAATTCTTAGGGGCAGCAAAACCCTGATTAGTCCCTGCATTTATGATATACAGTCTGCACACCTATTAAAGAATACAACATTTACACTTCATTACTAATTAGTATTTGGTCAGCATAGCTCAGTTGGCTGCACTCACTTCTGAGACAGAATGTAATGGGTTCATGCCCCACATTGGGGCTCTAAACCCATAGTTTAAGCCAACACTCCAATATGGCACTGTGGGTGTGCTGCATTGTTGGAAGTGCCGTTCTTCAGATGGGTCATCAAATCATGGTCCCATCTGCCTGTTCGGGTAGACATTACATTGCACTTTACAAAGAGAACAGGATTTGTCCCGGTGTTCTTAGAAGTTATGTCTCTTAGAAGACATACAGTACCTGGAATGGTAGACCTGAATTGTCCTCAGCACCAAAAATCCCTATTTAAAAGTATGATTATATACACATTTGGTGATGGTTTCATCTTAGTGCCACCGAACGATTTGTATCAAAACATTTTTTCAAAATATTGACATCAACAAATCTCTTGTTGATTTAATTTCTAAACAGTAATGACTATTTAGATTATTCTAGTAGTTAAATTGTGATGAAGTGCAAAAACATCACCAAAGGTGATAAACTAGTGTTCACAACAATAATTATAATGTAAAGCTATCTGTATCTGGAAAATACAAGTAAAGTAATCTATCCTGTCCACAAAACAGCAACTCAAAAGCCATATACCAAAAGACAAGTACTGAACTATTTCTGCATGTGTGTTTGACCAGATTGGTACACATCTTTATTCGCAACAGTTCCAGAAACACTAGTTGCACTTGTAGGTAGAATCAGTGCTGTAATATCAAAAGTAATATTTGTATTACCAGTGAGGAAACACAAGTATGCATTTATATGACAAGAGGTATATTGAAGATCTATAGAAAAGTTTAGAAGCAGAAAATGTCAACCATTATCCAACCATAATTTTGTGTATTCATGAGAAAAACTGATAGATCTAGATTTGACATTAAACGGTGCATTGCTGTATACCAATTTTGATGTCATTCATACCCACCAGTTAAGTTGAGAAAAACACAAACCTTTTGTACAATTAGCACCTAAAAGAGAATTTTTCAAACAGCCTTTGCAGTTTGTGGAATAAAGATGAAAAAGAGAAAAAAAACATAAATTAAAGTAGTAAAGTAAAATATGTGCCTATAAAATACAGTAACTACCAAAAGAACAAAACCTGTGAAGAGCTTCAAGACTTCCAAAGTGAAAGACTCAATATCAAATACAAGAATTATCTTCTCTGGAGGCTGAAATATTTAGCACAAAAAACTACAAGTTATAATAGTAATATAATAATCCTTGCGCCTTATCATGTATTCGAGACTTCTCAAAGCGCTTCACAGAATATACTGTAAAGTGAATTGACTGTATTTTTGTGGGTGAAACAGGGGATGCTGGCTTTCTCAAGCGTTTTGAGACATCCTTCCAATGTGAAGAGGTTATATATGGAAGCTGGGGCAGGGAGAGGGAGAAGATGACCTGAAAGCTTGGTCAGAGGTATTTTTTTGAGCCAAGCCTTAAATGAGGGGAGGCATGGAGCGAGACTGAGGGGCTCTGGGATGGAGTTCCAGAATGGCTGAAAGTCCGCTCAGATAGGGCGGGAGACTTGAAGCAGACCTGTGCTCACCAAGCGAAGTTGGGTTGATATAGTTGAAGGAGCTCACAGAGGTCAAGTGGGTGAAACCATGTAGGGATCTGAATGTTAGAACAAGAATCGGGTGATAGGCTCGCAGAGCCTGGTACTTGAGACGACATGGGCTGCAGAGTTCTGGATAGTCTGCAACTTGTGTAGGGAAGAAGATGTGAATCCAGCAAGTACTGGGGTAGTCAAACCTGGATGTGATCACCTTTCAATATCTTGCTCAAAGATCATTTGTCTATACAGTTTGTGAACCTATTCAGCCAGCGTTCACAAGCCACTTCACCATGTGTAATATCACAGCCAATTCTATTTCCACTGACATCTGTCTATACACGTGTCCCTTCCTGCAGGGGTCACTTAACACTAATCAACAGTTGAAACTCTTGACTAAATAATTTGTCCTCTGGATGCGTTATGGTGAAGAAGCACCAAGCCCAATTGTAGCAATTTCTTCTGCCACCCAGGTACAAAATGTTATCTAGATGAATGCCAGGGATCAAACCAGTCTGCACGGCCCAGTTTCACACAGGGCAGTGGCTGTACAAACTAAATCACCAGGGAACCATAGATTCCCACTGCTTAATGGCACTGACACTCCGAACAGATATCAAAAGAATCACGAACCGCAAGTTCAGCATTCTATCATCAGTCGGTTTTATTACAATCGTTTACTGACAAGGAAATTGGGATTACAGACCCACATTTAATATTTCGTGGCTCGGCATGTCACTCATAGTGCTGTTTGCTTTATTTTATCATAACGGGAAATATCATAATATTGCAAAAGATTAGAACAGAAATACAATCCAGTAACTCCTTGGGTATAAACCCGACAGTTACGCAGTCGGGTTAAGGTGAGTTATCGGTTTAATAACATACACTAAACACTGGTAACTCACGATGGGGAGGAGGACATGAAACCCCGGGCTGATTAAATCGGACAAATACAGTACAATTTGACAGAAGCGAAAAAAGAAGCACATCGACGTCCAGTACTCCGGTCTGTAGCTGTAACGGGGCTTCCGGTAGACCCACACACAGCACCGCACACCTGTGCAGGTAATCGCCCCCTCGTCGTACTTCACAGAGGTGAGACCGCGGCGTACGGCGCAGAGCCCATCACAGCTCTTCACCGGGAGCACAGGTTAAAGGGCAATGGGCTCGCACCCGCCCCCTCCCCGGTTCAATGCAGTAAATAACACATTCTCAGCCTTACCTCGAGGTCCCGTTGGGATTCAGTGGCCTCCCACCCGGTCTCAGCAGCGTTTCGGGCCAACATGCTGCCCTGGCATTCCCTGCCCAGCGGCAGCCGTTACAGTCGGTGTCGAGAGAGGCACAGGGCGAAGGCGGCGCGGTTTGAACGTGCAGCGGAAGAGGAGCTGGAGGGGGGAGCCAGGCAGCGAGACATCTGCACCCACTGACTCCACAAAGAGGAATTAAAGCCAAAGCACAATCAAACCTGACTGTTTATCTGTGTAGGAGACAGAGAGAGGGAGAGGGAGAGGGAGAGGGACAGGGCGGGGGGGGGGGGGAGAGAGAGAGAGACGGACGAGGGGACGTTGGTGGTTTTTTTTTGTCGTTTGAACAAAAATAGGAATTTCCCCCCTTCCCCCCCACCAAAAAAAAAATAAAATAAAAAAAACCCAAAGCTGGAAAACCTGGTATTGTTTCTCGCCTCCTCGAGAGCACGAATACAGGTATTGTTAACCCGCCTCCCGGAGCTCCGGCTCCCAAACTGCAGCAACTTTTCTCTCAAGGCCTTTCGCGGCGGTGCGAGCGCAGCCTACCCTGCTGCCCGTTGTCATGGCGATCTGCCTATCGCGGCCCCGCGCCGACGTCGCCAGCCAACCACCGCCGCGCGAAGGCGGGACCCATCAAGTTAGGTTGACTTCCCCCGGGCGGAAGTGAAGTCCAGCGAGTTGACGGGGGGAGGGGGAGGGGGGGAGGGGTGGTGTCACTGTGATGTCATTGAGATTGACGGCGCCGCTGGCCCGGCCTGCGCCAATCACCAAGAGGCGAGGGGGCGGGGCTACCCGCTCATGCTCTGTGTCCCTTTAAAGGAGCTCAGTTCACAAGATTGGTTTGGGTGAAGAGACCCTTTTTTTTTTGACCCCTCTGATCATATCCTTGCAGGACACCCGCCCTACTGTCACCATCACAGCCATCACGCTGTGTTTTATATCAATCCTTGCATTTTATATGTAATAATAATAATAATCCTTGCATTTGATACAGCGCCTTATCACATCGTCGGGACATTTCAAAGCACTTCACAGGTTATACTGTAATGTGGAGTGACTGTGTATTTTGTGGCCGAAACCCGGCAGCCAACTGCATACAGCAGTGTCCCACAAACAGTCATGGATTAAGTGCCCAAATTATTATTCTTTTGAAGGGATTATTAGAAAAGCGATCTGCCAATTGACGTAACAAGCAGGTTCCTACTTACTTATTGCTGGGTAAACAGAGGCGTGTGTGGAGTAAGGAAATTTGCAAAAGGTTTCGCTCTTACCCGCCCGGAAATCGAATCCAGATCCACACTTGCGAGTGCTCTTACCACTACGTTACATATTAATATATAATGCCATATCATGTCGAGACATCTCAAAGCACTCCACAGAATATATTGTAAAGTGAATTAACTGTATATTTTGTGGGCGTTTTAAACTAATCCTAGTCTCTTAACACCTTTCCTGGCTTACTGTTCTAGTCATTAATTACCCTCTGGGTAAAGTGAAACCTCCTGATATCTGGCCTGAAATTGCTGTTTCAAACTGTAAACCTATTTGTTAATCATAACACTCCTAGCCTTGCCTTTCATACAAGATTCATATAGAGTTGTGAGATTACATTTCCCCAGCAGGCCGCAGAGGCAGAATTTTGGATATTTATAAGAGCTAGAAAGATACTTGGGAGGCAAAGTTTTAATGGGTTTGGAGTAAAGGCAGGGAAATTGAATTTTTGAGGGTCAGCTGGGTGCCTGACACATGCGGAAACTCATCACCATGCTTAAGAGTATTCAAACCAAACAGAATTTCATGCACCCCACCTTATACATGGAAATTCCTGAGTTATTTATTGGAATACGCACCATCTCCCTAGAGGGATGCATCCTGCTTACCTAAATCCAGAGAGTATTAGGCACAATTTGGCAAGAGCTAAGATTCGGGGACCACCCAATCTGTTATAAATTTGGCTTGCCTGGTTAAAAGGAGCTGCCTGAGAAGAATCCCTGCCCCCAGTTACTGGTCTGCCCCTCCAAGTTCTGCCAATGAGCCAGACTGGCTGTGCTGGCATCAAGAATGTCATGGGAGTACTGTGGACCCACCTGACTGAGGACCCAGACTACCAAGACTGCCATAGAGGGCTGGCTCAATGCCAGCGGGAATGTCAGAATCTTTCCATTCTTTCTATTTGTGACCTTTGCTTCTATGTTCCTTTTGCCCCTCTACTGCTTTCAATCCTTCACCATCTCTCCTCTGTGCTCCACTTCCACAATTATATCCTTTCCTGGTTTCACCCTTACAGCAGGACCACTGGTGTTCTGACCGATTGCTTGTCAGACATTGTGTTAGATGAGCTTCAAAATTTTTCAGTTGAATGTCAATACGAATGAAACTCTCCAGCTTGGCTGTATCACAGGTACTGACTGCATCGACCTGCACAGATGTTTCTTCCACCTTGTAGAATGGATACAGAACCTCAATGTCTTGTTCAACCCCACACTATCTTTTAAGCCCTAAATCCAGGCTTTCACTTGTTTGGCTTTCACACTATCAGTCATTGATCAGCAACAGATGTATACATCAAATTTCATTGTTTTTTTTTGTCGACTCCCTCTCTTAGCTGTTCCCACAATCTCACTGAAACTATCCCAAACCTCACTGATTTTCAAGATTTGTAAATTATGCATTATTTTGTGAATAGACATGCAGACTTGTGTTGTAATGGATTGTTGAGTTATCATATTTTTGTCAAAAAGGAGATATAAAATTTAGTGGTGGGTTATCTGACCGATGTTCCCTTTACATCCTTTTAATGACTTTCTCAACATGTTCAATTACATGGTGCATCAATCCAGAAACTGTTCTGGCATTATATTCCAAACCTCACAAGTTGGGTGCAGCCAAACAACACCGTTATAATGTTGGAGCACTGTACACCATTTCCAGACATAGTAACATATGGCAACCTGTAACAATAGCAAGTCCTGCTAATAAATGAAAGTGTGTCACACTGACCCATGGGAACCCCGCTCCAATGCAATATACTATATATCTAGTTATTGGAGCTCCGTTGGGTCACTGTGGCAGTGGTTACTGTCGTCGGGTGTTGCCGCGTGCAATTCTCGTTATTAATCATCTCATATTATATCCCAATATTAAAAGTACTGTCCCTCTTCTGCTCTCTCCATCTTGAAGAACATCTACATAAAGAATTACCTCGCCTTCACACAAGTTGCACAATTGCTCAGACAGTGGGATATTACAGCCAAAGTAGCATTCAAAAATGATCAGGAATGGAAATCCTAATCTAACCTCTCTCCTGGCCAAGGGACGTTGAATCTATTGCTCTCCCACTGCCCAAATGAAATTGATGAATTGAACATATGGCTTTTGTACATCTTAGAACCACAATCACGTGACTGTATGAATAAAAACACTCACCATACATTGCATTTATGCCTCCATGCTTCAATTTAAAGACCACAAAATGCTTTTTAATCAGGAATCCTACTGTTGTTATATTCTTAGCAAAATATTTTACTTCGGGTACTGGGGAGGGGGCACCAATGGACCCTGATACAATCACCACATTACAAGATTCCTTTGAATAAAGGGCTTTCTGCCTATTTGATCTCATCCTTCCAGAATATCCACCCCAGCCTCAAGATGCTTATTAAACGAGTCCAGTGGCCTGGTCGTAAACATCCTTCCTGGTATCTTGTTCCAGGCGTTATCTATCATCTGGGTAAAGGAAAACTTACTGCTATGTCTTGAAATTGCCCTTTGTAACTCTATGTCATCTTGTTGTACTGTCTTGGTGAATCCCAAAGTATTGCACTTATTTTTCAAACCCATTTAAAATTGTGTGCCTCTAGGCCTCCTTTCAAGTCTAAATATCTCCTTTCCAGACTGATGACGGTATATAATAAATTAGAATTCTTAAATTTGATATAGTGCCTATTATGTTGGGAAAATCTCTTAAACGTGCTTCACAGGATTTACTGTAACGTGGTGTGACTGTGTAGTACCTTGTGAGTTAATAAGCATTTTGTAGCAACCATTTATTCAATGGTTTCTACCCCTGCTGGATTATGACTCTCCACTTCTAGTAGAAGCAGAATAAGGAAGAACAAGTTTATCTGATAGGATTCTCTTAAAAAACAGTATAGGCATTTTACAAATGTTCCTGGGGGTCTGCTGGTTTCAAGTGAGTGTCTTTTACTCAGATGATTTTTTTGATGAAGGTGATGACCAAGAATACAGGTAAGGCATTTCTCAATTTTAACAAGAAACAATGCAACTTTAGTAATTTTATTTGAATTTTAGAAAAGCTAAAATGATACCACCATCCTGAAACTCGATTATCTTTTGAACTTGCATAATGTATAATAAACACTAAGCTCATGACAGGTATATATTCCATGTATCAAGAACAAATCTGTATCCAACACTACTTTAGATTCATTAAGAATAACTGGTCATGCAATAGAAGGCATCTTAAATTGCAAAGAAATAATTAGATAGATATTACAGTGACTTGAGCATTGTACTAACTTTATCAAGAAATAGCAAGCTGCAGAGTGCAAATTTGTGCATCCTTTTCTGTAACAGAAAAAGTGGGGGCTTCTTTGTTCTGGTAGAACAATCAGCTGCAATTCCTGGTCTTAGACTTAAATATGTTAACAAACTCATATTTTGTTTATACATCAGAATGCATCAGCTTTCTTTTATGAAACATAAAACAGCTTAAATTTGTAGAACATTCATTTCAAATAGCCTGTGTAAGTCAACATTTGTACTCAAAATGGAACTTTTAGATTTAAGGACAACTGCAGTCAAATTTGAAGACCTCCATTTTCCTGAGAGTTAAGAGTACTAACGAGTGATACGGATAAGAATGATAGAATTAGGTTATAAAATGGATTGAGTGACCACCAAAATACAAAATTGCTCAGCTTTGAAGTCAGATAAACATTATTGCACAGTAGAGACCACTCTGGTACATATAAGACAAATATAGCTCTACAGTCAAAAATGCATTAGTTGTAATTGTTTGCTTCAGTCATTTCTCCTTATACAGAGCAAAAACCTGTATTGCAAATCATTCACATATATGAGAAGACAATTATACTTAGTTGGATAGCTGATATAATTATATTCACGACAAAGGAAAAAAACGTGCGGTTTTGGTATTGATACTTCGGCCATTAAAGTTTCCAAAAAAAAAAGCTAGGAATATTAAGGAAGCTTGAATTGGACAATTAACCCCCTACTAGAATAAAGGTTACATTTTTAGTACAGGTCTAATAAAAATCTTATTCAAAATCTACATGCATTTTAAATACTTCTTACGGTGTATATTTTAACAGCAAACATCCTGCTGGATATTGTACTTTAAATTGCCACTTAAGTGTAGATGTAAACAGTTGGAGCTATAGGTTTTTGCTACAAGATCATAATGTTCTTACTGAAGGGTTGTTATCCATTTACTGGTTCTTAGGAATCAAAACATCAGACACAACCAGGTGGGATCCTATTTATTTGTACTTTTTGGGGGTTTTAAAATAATATTCAAATACATTTTATGCTCTCCCAAGCTACCATAAATGGATTGTATGATTATGACTATCATATAATTTTCTTGTAATAAAATAAGTTATGTTGATATGAACTGCATAATAATTCAGTTTTGTATATTAACCGCCAATTACTGCATTTTAATGTGCGGTTACATATTCAGCTAGTACAATTTAGCACCTTGTCATATTTCTATAGTTCTTGACAACTGCTCACACTGCAGTCTATAGAAGTATGAGGAAAGGGATTAGTGCTGCATGTTGTATAGATTATAAAACAGGGCAAACTCTGACGAATTAACCACAAAGGTGAAATTCAGATGCTTTTTGTGTCTGCATATGCACTTGAGACTCTGCAACACATGCAAGCTTCCAAATGACTTAAAATGCTACATAACCTTGAAATAGATCCCAACTACTTTAGAGAATATTGAAATTTATTTTACTGTGCAACTATTTAATCGAAAGGACAGACAACATAACTTAATAACCAAGGTAGCTCTAATAAATGAGTAAGTTACAAGTGGTTATTCCTATTTTGGCTGCAACACTTGTGACTAGTTTTTGAAGTTTATTTCCAGTACTTAACACTATTTGTTGCAATGAAGGGAAAACAGGGCTACAATGATGACACAATCATGTGTGACCACATTGGGTTGTCTATTGAGGTGGAAAGATGATGAAACAAGAACTGGGAACAGAGAGCAACAGTAATAAATGAAACCTTGAAAAACTAAAGCATGTGCAGGATAATTTTGTACTCCAGCAGTAGCACTGTCATCTAAATTATACAGGCTGAGTACGTGCTTAGGAGAATCAACCAAGGTGCAAGCAACAGATGGCATTTTGGAGTTGGAAACTATGATTACTAGTGTCTGGTTTGCTGGCATAATTGGCACACATAAAAGGGCAGCCAATGTGGGAACCATAAAAATTAATTTTCACAGATGAAAACAAAGCAATGCTCTCAAGTCACTAGTAAGATTTCATGGAATCAAGTCCCATTAGTAGCATCTGAGTAACACTACCATCAGTATTGTAATCAAAAAGTCAAACTAAATGTCACAAGTGTGGTATTTGGAAATGTCTGGACAGTCATCAGGAACATGGAGGTATGAATGGGAGAAAAAAAATCCACCACGGTTAAGGTTTACTCTATGTTGCATTTTAGCTTGTCCAGAATTTGACATTTTATTTAAAAAATACTTTTAAGAAAGAAAACAGTTCAAAGTTGAGACTGAAATCAACAATTTGACAAATTCTGAACACTAAAATGCTCACGAATAGACTAAATCTGGACACTGGTAGAATTCCTCCAATAATTTGTATGGGGAAAAGTGGTAAGGAACCTTGGAAATAAGACATTTTATATTTTCCCCCAATATTCTATTCATCTAAGCTGTCAAGACTTATTTTTTTAAGTGGGGGAGGAACCATTACCTTTTGCCCATGTGTACAAAGAGATTGTCAATGACCTGCAGTTACGTCACAGGAATATGTAGCACCCTACTGCTGCAAACCATTATTCAACACTGGAAAGACTTTGCAATGCTCTGTAAATAGAACAGTGGAACATTTGCAAAAATGGAATTTCAATTTATAATTTTATTCCCAAGATATAAAAGTTATTAGGGAGTTAAGAACTGTAAATTAATTTGTTACACCAAGGATTAGAAACAAGAGAACTGTGCTTTTAATAAACCTCATCTGAACATCAACTGTTACAGCCACATCTCTCACCATCAGCTATACACTCATATAAAATTTGACAGCATTTTGTAGAGCTTCACATCCTTCTTATTTTTCTTGCTTTCATCTTTATTTTCTTGTTCCTTTTTTAGTTTGGGGAGAACGGAACTATAATATGTACTTTTATTTTCAGAGCTTTCATTGTGTAACCAAATCCATGTCATGTTTCTTTTCTTTTGCCCATTTGGATTACTTTGAGTAGATTAATTTTAAGTTTATTTGGGTTCTGTTTTCATACCTTTAATGTTTTGCTCTTCTGACTGTAGTTTAATTAGTTCTTTAAGCTTTATATATTTACATTAATACCTTTCATTACCTGAATACTTAGTTTGCATTAACATCTATTGTACTTCTGATTTTATTTAATGCATCCTTTAGGTAGCAAATCTCGCTACTGTGAAACTACCTGGACTCAATGCAGTTATGGTACTGCTCTGTAGAATTAAAGTAGAATTATTAGGACTACTAACAAATAATAGGTGCTGACTAGTATTACACAGGCTATACAGATCTCACGCCTCCAGAAAAAACAGGACAGTTTCTGCTTAAAAACAAACTAGTAACTAGGCTATTGAATAGTGTCTTAAATTGCAACATATATTCTACGAATCAGATAAAAGCAGGAGAAATACCTGCAACAGGCACAATAAGTTCCTGGGACTTAATTCTTGAATGGACTAACATTAAATTTATCTTTACAGAAAATGAACTATGCATTTAAAATACAAAATCAGGTCACTTGTTTGCACATTTTTATTTTGAATTGAAAAAATATCCCATAGAACCTGGAAAAGTAATAAAAACATGCCCCAAACCCATGCTTTTAATTACAGTCCTGGCACATGGGTTGTTCATTTCAGACACATTAATTCTAATTGGTGGAAGTACAGAATGCTTTGCAGGAATAATTGAGTGGTTTCAGGAAATGTGGCAAAATTTAGCCACATATTGTTGAAAAGATCATCTCTTCTTGCTGCTCACTCCTCCTCCCCCCCCACCCCAAGGGTCTGCACAGACATTTTGGCGATAGACGTGCAAGATTATCCTTAATTTGACTTGTGGCTTTCCATGGTCTGGCCTGGGAAAAGGTTCTTGAGGGTTTTCTGCAAAACATGTGCATCAGCTGGCTCTATCCTCTTGTAGTAGTTCTTTTTAGTTTCTATTATTTCAAAGCCAAATTTCCTGTAGAATTCAATAGCTGATTCGTTGCTGATTTGAACATGCCTGAAACAATAAACGTAATATTAATAAAGTTCCCTTAGATTTCTGAACCAGTCATAAAAGGCTAATCCTTTTTCATTACAATGCTATAGATTCACAAATGGGTACCATAAAAGTTGTTTACTTCATCACTGTTACAAAATGATTTTCTGAATTTCATAAAACAAATCACTGAAACGTTCACAGGTAGGGAAATTAAAATACACATGGGGCTAATGAGCATCAATTTTGTTCTGGGAAATCTGAACAAAGTCATGCTGAATTGTGATCCGACTCGGTACACCTTTCTAGTCACCAGAAATAATCTCATTAGATATTGCTGCATGTTAGACCTCAATAAGAGCATTCAAAATAACTATAAACTACTTGAGAGATAACTAAATAGTACAGCATCAGGAGATCACTTAATCCCATGCTTACCCATCAAACCTGGAAAGAGTAACACTTTATTTTGCCTCTTGCGATGAAGAAACATCAGGACACTATTGCCACAAAAGAGGCAACAGAACTATTCCACGCAACAAGACTAACAAATCAAATTTAAGCCCTATCTGTAGAGTAACTGCCAACCCTAATCCATTTGGAGTTTAGGAACACAATCATGAAGCTAGTCTTCACTATCCCTTTTTTCAGGTAGATGTTATTTGGAATTCCAGGAAAAAGGACATGAGTAAAACAACTTCATGCTTCTGCTTGCAAGCGGGGAGTCTTTGGAGTTACGCTGATATGTCTGGCAATGGAAGTGTCATATCTCCAAAATAGGAAAAAGAACAGGAAATGCAGTTCTTTTTAGCACAATAAGCATGTAAAACAAATGTGTTACAGAGAAACACAGTTATAATGTAGTCCTGGAATACAGAAAATTTCAACCCGTGTTAAAAAAGCGTATTGAACAGTTGCTTTCTGGGTTGCGATGTCGCAGGGGTGTGCATGAGAACAGAAAACCACTTGGCAGCTCTCGCAAGACGTACTGCATGTGCTAATCCTGCAATGTGCAACATAACATACGAGTACTAATGTCACAATAATAGGATTTTCATCTTTGAAATCACAAAATGGCAGGGACCATTACCTACCTGGCTTAGGAGCAAGACATACTGAAGGACATTTTAACAGAGTTCCACTGTACCACTCCTTGGTTCAGAGGAGAATTAGTAAGAGATGAAGCAGTGGCCATAAGCATTCTGAATGGAAAGCGATAGTATTCGCTGCGCACCCACATATTCTTTAATCTTTTGGAAGACATCAATGACTGGTGTGTAGAACTTATTAAATGAAGTGCATACTTACAGATAAATATTGTCAAAAGTTCCATCCTTTTCACAGATGTTTAACACATGATTCAGCATTTTAGTTCCTTAGGGAAGTAAATTATAAAACATTTACTCAGCTGGCTCTTAGAAGCATTAAAATGTAGGCAGTAGACAAGCATACTCTTTTCCCAATCTAAAGTAGGATATACTGCAAAGCTGATGATACTATAAATTTTAGTTAGTTCTCTGAAGAACAGAAATTGATACTATTGTTATTATTTGATTTCCAGAAGGGTTTCTCTGGGATGGAACCATCATCTTATACATATGGAACAAAGTTAGTTTGTGTCCACCTGCCATTCCGTGATAACAATTCTCAAACTCTTCAGACTCAAAAGTGGATTGTTTTTCTCAGTACTGCAATCCTAAGCAAATTTACTTTGCTGTAGAATTCTTGCACCATACTAACAGATATATTGTTTCGATCCTCAAAATAGAAATAATCCTTCCATTTGAAATAGTTTTATCATGCCATCAAAACATCTAAATGTTATTCACAGAATTTATTGTAAAGTGCATTTTACAATAAATCCCATGAAAGTAAATACAGCAATAGGTTTGTGGGGAAATATAGCAGCCAATTTGCCCATAAACTTATTGCTGGATTTACTTTCATGGGGTACTTTAATTTGGACCACAAAAACAATTTTATGAACTGGTCAATCATTTGGGGCCATACCTAGGAAGCTTTTTCTAGTGCTTGAAAGAATTTCATCACCTTATCAATCTGTTTTCATCCAATACAAAAATTTAAACAGCTTAATCTTCATACTTTAACAAATACGTCACATAATATACAAAATGTATTTTGCAAGTGTCAGTAATAAGTAGTGACAATCAAAAATGTACTGTCAATTTTTTAAGGTATTGCTGAAGTTCTGTTAACAGATTATATTGCACATTCTTTCAATTAAATCAAGAGTAAAGAGGAACTCGTAAAGCCACAAGATGGGTACTTGTCAGCATTATAACCTAAATATCCTGGCTTTTCATTTGCTTGCATGGCTCAACGTGACTGAAAATTCTCTGTGTGAATACTTTGTTTGTGAAGTTGGACTTCATTGTTTTAAACTCTGAAGTAATAAGAAGTACAACAATGATAACCAATTTAGTCCATAATGTTAAGAGTGTGTCCTGGTCTTCTGATCCAACCTGGCTCTGAGGCATTACCTGCATGAAGGGCACTATATAAATACACATTATTCTGATGAATCTGGTCTTCCACACTCACTAATTCTCCACTATAAGACAACTTTTTTTTTATTTTGATCTTTTTTCCCAGGAATCTTACTGATACCTTGCTGTGATCGCTGCAGTATATTAAAACAGCATTAATATAGGGAATTTTTTTTAATATAGTGATGCATTCTCAATTTAGTATAGCTAGCTCAGGGTAAATAAATAGCATGAATGAATGTAGTATGAATCCAAAAAAAGACCCAATTCAAAAACATCTCACTTTGAAAAGGTCAGTAATAAAGAAAGGAAACCACATCTATGCCGGAAGTGGTAACATTTTAACAAGAACAGAAATCATTAAAAATGCATTATTAGAAAAATAAATACTATGCAAACTAGTTAAGTTTGTTAAACTACAGTATGAAATATAGAATATTACATTTAATATAGATGCACACATATTTAAGCTTGACAGAATTATAACTTACTTTAGAAATGGTGGAAATAATATATCCACAAAAAAAATTGGATTTATAAAACGCATTAAAAAGCTGCTATTTTCATTAACAGTTCTGTGCATTATCAAGTAAATGAACTAATTCCAAAAAGGGCTTTGTCAGATTTCTGTTAAGCTTACCTATTCCTTGCCTGCGGTAAGGTGCCAGACAGCCCAAGGTCATGATGTACAAGCGCTTTTGGTTTTGCGAATGATCCACTCGACAGCACACTGCACCAACTGAAATATCATTGAAATATGCTGCAAGCAGATGAGAAAAAATATTGTTACACGCAGCCATTTGGCTATCATACAAAATTTAAAAAAATAAGATTGTACTATCACCCCTCAATAGGCAGAGAAATAAAATTTCAAATAAACCTTGCAAATAACCTGTAAGATACCCTGAGCACAACATGTATGCAAACAATCAGTTTTGTTACTTTAGAAGGGAAATAAAGTCTGAAATAAAGTACTGTGTGGAATATTTCTTTTTCATCTCCTTTACAACCCACCAAATTTTTTTAAAGAAAATAGTCTCGATTATACAACTAATGCTTACTTCTGTGGATAGAGATTTTCTATCCCCATTTCCCTCCTTAAGCACTTCAGTATTAAATATTGTGGCAATGGTTGTAGGTATTGCAATGGTTGTAGGCATCCCAATGCTTTCATTCACTTTAATGGAAGGAAGCATTTTGGCAAAGCTTGCAGTTGATTCAGATTTACTCCCTCCAATGGAGCGGTATACAGCAACTCCCAGCTCCTCAATGTCATATAAAGTTCTGCTGCACTGCAAGATGGCCTGTGGTCACTAATACATGCATGCTCTTACAGATTTGAATAGCCCCCATTGTTAGCAAACCCATTAAAATTATTTTTTTCTTAGTCTTCCACCTACTACTATTCATTTTGGAAGGCTGGAGTAAGATTTTTGTTAAAAATAGCAATTTTATTGGTTGCAGAACCACCAAGACCACCAACTACAAGTCAAGCCAGTGAAACAGTAAAAGATCACTGATTGACAGTGACACATGACCAATGTAACTGCATAATCACACTCTTCAGTCTAAGAAGCTATTGCAGGTCATCAGGATACTCTTTGCTCACATCATTTTAATGTACAGTTCAAAAAATAGTGTTTAATTCCCAATGGTCTCTTATTCTGGATCTGGTGAGAATTTCAGGCAATTAGAATAGAGGTTTACACTGAATCGGGGGCAGGCGCACACACACACACACACACACACATCTGGACAGTGTGGATTTTCTCACTTCCAGAATTCTGAGTTTAGAATCATAGAAATTTACAGCACAGAAGGAGGCCATTCTGTCCATCATGTCTGTGCTGGCTCTTAAACGCAATCCTTTCAGTCCCATTTCAGGGTAGTGTGTATTATGCAAATTTTCAGGGTAGTGTGTATTATGCAAATGGGTAGGTTTAAAACTCTACCCATACAAAAAGAATTGCATAAATAATGACAAAAGACTTTTTAAAAAATGACTTCATTGAAGACAATATAGCCAGAGGCACTGCAATGTACTTCCACACAGCAAGACTCTAGGGTGCATTTAATTAATGGCTTGCAGCATACAGTATATGGGTTATATTAAAAAAATTACAGTGCAAGACGTACAGTCTTAGCTTCTACTCAGTTGGCAAACCAGCAGCTGAATATAAGCCAGTGACCACTTGCTGCTGAGATTGCAATTTAAACCGTGAACCAGTAATTTCTTATTCAGATTTAAGAGATCGGACTGTGTGTTACGTTGTTAAGTGTGCTACAGATAATAATAATCCTTGCATTTGATATAGCGCCTTATTACGTCTTTGAGATGCCTCAAAGTACTTCACAGAATAAACTATAGAGTGAGTTCACTGTATATTTTGTGGGCAGATATTACTCTTACTTGAAAAATTTACTTTTACAGTTCTGTACAGAAACTCTTTTTCATGCTAGCATTATGTTAAAATATTCCAACATCAGCGATTGGTATTTAAATTTGAATTTAAATTGAACCCACTCATCACATTAACAAACCTTTGGTTTTGATAGCTAGCTCAGTTCACAGGACTGTCCCAATATATTGGCCGTGAGCCACATGTGGCAAATATTTTCAGCAAAATGAAAACGACTGCAAAGTTTTGCACTGATTGGTGGTAGATGTTTGTTAAGTAAATCTAGCTGCAAACATGCACGTCAAGTACATTTACCTATATTGTGTGAGTGTCTGCAAAGTATTTTCTCTAAAATTACTGCATGTGGCTAAAATGGTGTTGCTGTAGCCACACCTCTGGAAAATCAACAATTTCTATTAGACAACATTTGACAATGGAATGGTTAATCATATCCAATGGAAACAGCCTTTCCTTATTGAGTCCTGTAGCTCAGTGGTTAGAGCACTCGCTTTGCAAGCGAGGGACCGGAGTTCAATTCCAGGCAGGGCGAAACCTTGGGCAAGTTTCCTTACTCCACACACCTAATAATAATCCCTCCAAAACCAAAAACAATAATAAATTGGTCATTTTCAATCTAAGCCTGTTTGTGGGACATTGCTGTGCGCAATTGGCTGCCGCGTTCGCCCACAAATACAGTCAATTCACTTTACAGTGTGTTCTGTGAAGCGCTATGGGACGTCCTCCCGACGTGAAAAGCGCTATATCAAATGCAAGGATTATTATTATTATACTACTGGACCACAAACCTAACTTTTGATGCACAAACAATTATGTACAAAAATGGAACTTGCCATATTCATCAAGCTGCAATTCTAATGGGCTTGCACCATTTCAAATTATTGTTAGCTTAATCTTAATTTTTTTGGAAGAACTGCTAAAAGAAGCAATCAACCTTTGTTACCCATCCCTCCCCTAGCTACTACTATTACAGTCTGTCTATGGCCACTGTCTACTACTATGTCCCCAGCTACAAGTCTGGGCTAGAAAAGGGGAACGTCTTTTCAGCAACCAATCTCCACCATACAATTCATAACTTGCACTACACATGAAACAAGATTAAAGTTGAATCAACAAAGTTTTCTGGCAAATTATTTAAGTCTATTGGCATTTAGATCTACATGCTGCATTATATGTATACAAAAAATAAATCTCAACTTTACCTAATTTTGCAAGTTCTCCAACCTCCAGCACATCCTTGTAGAACTTGTCATTGTAACTTACAGGAAAGATGACTTGATTTAACCGCTTCAGCTGCTTGATGTTGTGTGGAGTTACATCTCCAAGTTCAATGCGGCTCCTGGAACAAAACAATGAGTTCGAGAATAACTATTTAGCATAATATATTAAGACAAAAGCTCATTGATATTAACACATGGGAAGATGATTTGATAGCACAGAAACTATAAATATTCCATTAGTGATGCAACCATTGTTTCACAAGATGGGCCCTTCAACCCATTTGATTGGAATAGCAACACAATATTCTTCACAATTGTGCCTATTTTTTTGTGTGAAAAAAACAGCAAGTATTCTGGCTTCAACCACCCTTCCTAGTTTCCTGATCTAGCTGTCAATTACCCCCATGTCAAGAAATAATACAATTATTATAATAGTATTATTACTACCACTAAATGAAAGGATTAAATATTTGCTCGTCCATCCTAAACAAGGTACCAGGATCCTGTTGGTGATAAGTCACTTGCAACTGAGATCTCTTTAATCTTCATAAGTTATCTTATTCCTTGAGCATGATTTTGGGTACGAGCAGTAAGTTAGCTCCAGTGGAGGAGCTAGTATTAGGATAGGCTTAATAGGCCTATAGCTTGTCTGCAGCCAGCCAGTGTAGCCTGCTCCTGATCTTAAAATTTCTAACTTCTGAGTCATTAAGTTAAGATGAAAATCACTTTTTAATTTTAATGGCCCCAACTACTATTTTACAACAAATCTGCACTTTATTTGCAGAAGTTAAATCTATTCAAAATAATAGTGAATTTTAAAAATCAGAGGGTGTACAAAACACTTATTTAAAAATGCCAAAGCTGGCAGGAACACTAATTCACGGGGAGCCATGTTCTGGGAAGGAGGGATTCAGCAAAGCAGTGCAACGGCTAGCTTATACACTATCTGGATTTGCTTACAGCATTTCAGATGCTGTCCTGTGTCCAAGAGAACACCTCATTGAGTTGTTTATTGACTCTGAGCCAATTGAGGTTTATTGCAAAAAAACAAGTTTCTGGCAGAATTATCTGCAGTTTTCACTGTAAATGATTTAATATCTACTAAAAGATTCCTAAATGTCACATCAAGACATCCTCCCAAAGTGAAAGGCGCTATACAAATGTAATTTTGTATTGTATTAAATTCATTGAGATTTCTCCCATAAATTGGGCTTTTTTTTGGTGTTATTAATTTAATTTTTCCAGTCTTTATTTTTTCCCAGCAAATTGGGGTTTTCAGGGCTTTCATTACTGTAATACGATGCACCTGTACAGAGGGAAGAGAGGCACCTTCAAAGCATGCTCAGTGCCTCCCTTCTCTTAATATAAACGCTTCACCAGATATGCCTGCGCACACTGAAGGGAGGTGGAGAATGAGAGGAACCACGTGCGGATGGCACACCATGGCGCTGCTGAGTGTGCAAGAGAGAGAGAAAAAAATACTCACCTCGAAGTTGAGTAACTATTTCCAGTGTTTACTGGATAAACGCTGATTTTTTTGGGGCGGCTATTGTTTTTTTTTAAAAATCAGTTAAAATCAAAGTCCTACACATAAACTGATGTATTGGTTAAGGATTCGCGATCTGTGCAGGATGTCACTGATGAAGAAAGGAACGCAATTCCCCTTTTTGCAACCAGCTATCAACATTAAGCATTCCAGAGATGCTAAAACTGCTCCCTATTTTGTCTTGATAATAAGCCTTATATTTCAGCTCCAGAGCAGCAATCCCTGAAGTTTCCCAATGCCCTGGAGCATGGTTCAAAGTTAATTTCATAATCATTACTTTGGCATCATTATCCTTTAGCATAATGGCTATGGGGAATGCAAACCAATAAATTTAAATAATCTCAAATTACCATCAGCAGTGATACCAGAACTGTGTTTTTGGGTGGCAGATGTGTTGACAATCACACACAGATTAGCCATGCAGATCCACCTTCACAGCCCCAGAATCCAAATTCTATATCCAATTTATTTGTCAATGTCTGATGAACGTGGATAACCAACACCACATTGTATGTATGCTACAGAATTTCTTCAGCACTGAAGTGGACATAATATTTCATTTACCATTACACTGAACTCTTATTGACAACACAAACAAACCATCGGTTAAAACATATAAAGCAATACATTTCTAATGCATACAATCCATGCATTTATCAGGCTTGACGAGGTCAGTTCTCTGCTCTCCGAATGACTTAACTCTTCCCAACACAACTGCAGACTATCCCGAATTGCCACTTGTGTCCTTTCCCTCACTCGGCTCCGGGATGCTATCATTCCAAAGAGCACAACAATGTCCGTGTTTGGCCTGCTTTGGTGAGTGACAACTTTTTTTGTTTTAGTGAAAAATTATGGTAACTGCATTACTGGTAGTGATTACACTTACCTGGAAATTCACAACAATGCAGAACTTTGCAGCACTGCAGGGGCTTGAACCCACAACATTCTGAGCTAGGCTGACACCTAGGCTAGATTTTACTTTTTAAAAAAAGCATCTAACCATACAACAGTACATGTTAAATTGCCTTCTCATTATCAACAAATAGAAGTCATTTGGCTTAAACAATTTGGTCTGGGTACACAACCTGAAACCAAAGCAGTTCTTTCCCTCCTGGAGGTAAATCAATTTTGAGGTTCCACAGTACTCCAATGTCTTTGGTGAGGCTTTATTTCTGAATAAAAATAGTCCCACTGTGACCCAAGCATGACCTGATAAAACTGAGTCGAGAGAGGGAGAGATGGATTGAATTACCCTTGAGCAGTGGAACATTGCCTATTCTCAATTTCACTGACTCACAGTTCAAAATTATACTCCCAATCTTACCAGCCTCTACTCAGTCCAAATGTCGATTAAAATCAATGTACCAGAACAAGCCATACATGGAAGAATGGGCAAAGTCAAAATCATGAGGGTATATCTACTTCCATACAGATTTCAATTTATGCAATTTTAAAGAACTATTTTGAAGGGCCTAGGCGGCATTACATCTTGCAGCACAGTTGTGAATTTGAATGTGGGGGTAGAGAGGCTGATGGTAGGGCGGGAGACACAGAGCAGGCTGCAGCTGGATGAACAGAGGGAGCGGGCAGGCTCGTAGGGAGTCAGCAGGTCAGAGAGGTAGGAGGGGGGCAAGGCCATGGATGGCCTTAAAGGTGAGGATCTTGAACTGGATCCTCTGGGGGATGGGGAGCCAGTGGAGTCGGGCGAAGGTGGGAGTGATGGAGCCTGGTGCGTGAGAGTACACGAGCTGCAGAGTTTTAGATGATCTGCAGCTTGTGGAGGGAAGAGTTGGGAAGGCCGATGAGGAGGGAGTTCCTGTAATCAAGCCTTGAGGTGACGAATGCGTGGGTGAGGGTTTTGGCAGCCTGAGGGGTCAGGCAGTGGCAGAGTCTGGCAATATTGCGGAGGTGGTGGTAGGCAGTGCCGGTCATGGTGCGGATGTGGGGGTCAAACAAGATACCCAGGTTCCTGAATGGCTTAGTGAGGTTGAGCATGCAGCCATGAAAGCTGATGCTGCCAGTGCCTGAGGTGCAGCAGTGCTGGTGCGAGCCAATCAGGAGGGCCTCGGTCTTGCTGACGTTGAGTTGGAGAAAGATGGCCTTCGTCCAGGACTTGATGTTGGACAGGCAATCGGTCAGGACGCCAGAAGTCCTGGAGTTCAGGGTGGAGGCAGAGAGGTAGAGTTGGGTGTCATCCACATACATGTGGAAACTTACCCCATGTCTGCGGATGATGTCACCAAGCGGGCGCATGTAGAGGGTGAAGAGGAGGGGACCGAGGAGAGAGGCCTAAGGAACACCACACAAAACAGTGCTCGGGCTGGAGGAGAAGCCGTTTGCCGCGACGAAGTGGAGGCGATGTGAAAGGTAGGACCTGAACCAGTCAAGGATAGAACTTTGAAGGTTAAGGTGGGAGGAGAGGCGGTGGAGGAGGATTGAGTGGTCCACGGTGTCAAAGGTGGTGGAGAGGTCGAGGAGTACGAGGAGGCAGAGGGAGCCCTGGTCACACATGGTCAGGATGTCACTTGAGAGGAAAGAGCGAAGCTGGGAGGCAACGCCTCTCTCAAGGGCCTTGGTTAGGAAAGGGAGATTTGAGATGGGCCAGTAGCTAGATAGCTCTGATGGGTAGAGGGAAGGTTTCTTCAAGGTGGGGGTGATAGTGGGTGTTTTGAGGGGGGAAGGAACAGTGACAGATGACAGGGAGAGGTTAATGATATCGGCAAGTAGTGGGGCAAGGAGGTGGAGCTGGGATTTAAGGAGAGAGGTAGGGATGGGGTCGAGGGAGCAGGTGGTGGATTTCATGGAGGTCACCGTGTTGAAGACAGAGGGGGTGTGACAGGTTCAAAGGTATGGAGGGAGGGATGGGTAATTGTTGGATGGGTCATTGTGTGGGGTGGGGGTAGGGAAGGATTGGAAGTGGCAGCTGAGCGGATTCCCTCGATTTTGGACTTGGGGAAGTCCAGCATTTTCTCGCAGTGAGAGTCAGAGGGAAGTATCTGCGAGGTGTGTCGGGGAGGGCGGAGGAGCCGGTTAGTGGTGGAGAACAGGAGCCTCGGATTGGCTTTCGCCTCCAGGGTTAACCTGGAATAGAAGGATGATTTGGCTGAGGCGAGAGCGGTAGTTCTTGATGAGGTCCAGCCAGATGTTGTGGTGGACTGATAGGCCGGATTTGAGCCAAGTATGTTCGGCAGACCTTCCTTGTTAGCCTTCCTAGTTGCTTGCTGTACCTGCATACTAACTTTTTGTGACTGGTGTACATGGACACCCAAATCCCTCTGAACACTAACACTACCTAGTTTCTCTCCCTCGAGAAAATATTCCACTTTTTTATTTTCTACCTAGGTGAATAACTTCACACTTCCCCACATTACACTCCATTTGCCACCTTCTTGCCCACTCACCTACCCTGTCTATTTCCCTTTGCATTCTTCGTGTGTCATCCTCGCAGCTTACTCTCCCACCTATCTTCGTATTGTCGGCGAATTTAGATAGGCAAGTTCTATTTCCTCATCTAAATCATTGATAGACTGTAAATAATTGAAGCCCAAGCACTGATCCTTGAGGCACTCCACT